ACTGCCATTATGTAGTATTTCCTCTGGATAATAAATTAAATTTGAATTTGCAAACACAAGACTTTAATTTACAGTCTTATAAATATGAAAAAACTTAGTACACATAAAAAGTTACTGGCTACCTCAAGTAGGTCAATGATTTTTTTCTGGTGACCATGCAGGTTGGATGTACCTTGGAGATACAGTTGTTCTGTCCCCGCTGCCCTTGTTGCTGTGTTTGATCTGCTAGCACTGTAAATATCCTGTGTCACCCAGCTATACCAAGGGCTAATTCAGCTCTGTTTGTTTCCAGCACTTGCATTGACTTGCATTGATCTCAGCCCACCTTCATTCTCTTAAATATTCTGACTGGCTGAACCGATCTTTTAAAATATCGATCTGATCTTTTTTAAATGGATAAGGAAAGACTGTTGGTGTTTGTGTATCTATGGCTGCAAGACATTTACACACAGGATAATTGGGAAATGAGCTAGCATTTTTCTGCACGGCTTGCTTTTACATTTCTTTTTTGATTGTGCCTGCTTACGAAATACGTAAACTGTCACAAAGTTGCAAAGCTTTTGTGATTAAGACTTCTGTGTTCCAAGTAGGGTCATTAAGCCGGTCAGTAAAGCACAGACAGATAATTGGGTCAGTCGTAACACTTAGTGAGTCCCTCACGGCTCGATAGCTCCTCTTATGCATGGTGATTTGCAAACACATTTTGCATAAATGGTTACACAACAAGCAAAGAGGAGGAAAAAAAGCTGTTATTAAAAAACGCCTTTGGCCATCCATAAAGCAACAAAAACCCTACCTCAGTACCTTTTACGTCTCCTCTGTTCCTCATAGTTTCCTAACAGCAGGAGTCACTCTAAAGTATAAGCAAATATTTGCCTCCCAGCTGACAGCCGATTAAATTAAGATGTCAAGTGTCCTCTCGCGTTTGAATGCCTTGTAATTTAATACTTGTCCCAACTGCACGCTGGACCTTTCACTTGCAGTTCCTTGCCATGCCAGCCTGTATTGTCAAAATAATCTGTAAATGACAGAGATCTCCTTTGTAGAGAAGTATATAGCTGGGAATAGTACTGAATAACTAATAAATGTCACTGCACCAGTTTGTCACCCAGGGCAGACATGCTGGTAGGCCAGAAATGAAGATCATAACCATTTGTTGTGGAAGGTAGCTACCAGTTTTGTATATAGATACATAGCCTGCAGAAAATATGTCACAGTATGCCATCTTGTTTTTTTCACATTTTGTCTTAAACTTTGAAGAAATAGGAATAATTTATCCATACAGTGAAACAAATGAGGCAACACACTTAGGATGCAAAAAACTATTTATTCAACATTTGTTCTTCCAAATATCTCATTTGTCAAAGTAACAGTCACCCAGGATGTTACATTATTGATTGACCTTTGGTAGCTGCTACAGTACACTGGTGAGTACTGTATGTGGGCAAGTTTTGTTGCATGAGCTCGCATGACCTCCAGATTCTTAGGAGTCTTGATAATTCCTCCATGCAAGATTGCTCCAACTGTATAAATTATAAATTATACAGCATTTTCAGGTAACAGCACAGATTTCCAGTGGGATTAAAGCTCAGTCATACCAGAATTCAGATGTTATTGCTCTTAAAGTGTTGAGTTTTGCTATTGTCCTGCACTGTAAGAACAACCCAAGTACAGTTTTTTTCCCCCAAAGTATAAACAGCATTTATGTTACTCAGAATCCATTTCTGTACCTTACATTAGACTAAAAGGTACATTTACCTACATCTAGGGTACATTTGACAGACCTTGAGGGTACAACCCTAGTTACAAGTAATTGTATGTTCAAAGGTACAAACTGGTACTTTTTTTTCTAACAGTGTGTTGGAACACAAATCTAGCTCCTAAAAGGGTGAGGACGTTGTTGATTTCGCATTTCAGCCAGTGAGCTCGGTAGCCCTTTAAGTGCTATAACTGAGCATCATGGTCACTTCACTGACAACTCACCTTCTCATCCAGGTTGGCAGGACAGCCTGAATTTAGAAATACTATATTTTGCCTTCTGCCTTCTCAAACTTTTTGCATTCAAACTGCTGAAGTTCCTCGGCCCTCATAAAGACATGATCTGATGTGCTGATTTTCCTTTACAATGTATGTGGACTCATTTATATTTCATTCCCTATGATAACCCAATATGCCTTGTCTAATCTGGGGAGTCATTAGTCAAAAGTTTTATTTTATTATTTTAAAATGTTTTTCTTTGCAATGAATGTCTAAAGCATCTCAGATTTTGTTCTCTTTCTGTTTGAAATCATTACTTATTCAGCCTTAGTTAAAAATATTTTTAAAGAACAACTGGAAATATGTGTAGGAATAACAATGTAAGGAGTGTATCAGAATCAAACAATGGGTTTTATCCATTAGTCTAATCTATCTATACCTCAGTTTTTCATTTAACTGCGGATCTAGTACAGAGACCTGGGAGTGGCCATGAAGCATATTCTCGTCATCAACGCAGAACATACTGAATTGACTGATGCTCATACTGTCTGCTGACTTCTTTTTTTTATATCAAAACTTGCTAATTGAAAACCCACCTATTTTGGCCTGATTTGTTACAGATTCCAGGGTTAACCCAGAATTTTTTGTTAAGCCAGCATTTTTTATCTTAAGATATGCTCTATAATGGATAGCAATATATTCACTGGCAATATGATTCATCCTCACATTTTAGATTTGGCTTATTTCCCTGTATTACTGTCAGTATCCCTCAGTTGAACTGAAAATAATGAAGATCATGATGTCCTACAGCTGTATTAAATAAAGGCCAGCATGATTTACTTATTTGTCTGTTATGTGTTATGTCACGTCAGAATTATACAATATCAAGGAGGAAATAAATAATGTCTCAGGGTATTTCCAGGAAAAAAATATTAGGAACAAAGTCTGGTGTGCAGATGTCATTGGAATTTTATTCTTGAAAAATGTCTAAATACATATTTATGCCCCATTGAATGGTAGTCAGATTTGTCAACCACACAGAGGCGCCATCTTCTGTTACTGTATGTTAGTACTTTAAAAAATCACACACAGACATGCTTAGGATTTACTGTCTACTGTGACATACAATTCTGTTTTTCACACAAGCATCAAGAACACATTTACCCTCAATGCTCCGGTTCGGAAACACTTGTGAATTTGATTTATGTGATGTATTTATTGATTTATTTCCTTTCTTATATAGCAAAATTGATATCAACATAGCTGATACAATGTTACCTGACTAAAGTTGCTTTTAAATATGTAATATATAAAAATTACTGGACAATTAATAAAGGTAGCGGCACTTAAAATGCTTTATGATATTTATGTGTTATAGTAACCATTTCTGTGTTGTGTTATCGTAGTTATGCCAGAGAGAGCTAAACTCTAATTTAACAGTGAAATGTTAGGTTGATAGCTGTAATCCTAGTAATATTTAACCATTTATGGTGCATTGTATAGGTCAGTAAAAATCAATACATTAATTATTTATCAAGTCATTATCTCACATTTTGTACCACCGTATCTGGTGTGAATATTCCTGTTGTTGTCCTCTGTAACAATACTTGTTACTAGGGATAGGCCGATCCACATTTTTTCAGTTCGATTTCGATACACAACTGCCGATACTGATTCCAATACAAGAGCTCTTATTGCTTTAATTTTTTAATAAAATAAATGTGTTTATATAATATGTAAATATTTATACTTTATATATTATTTTTTTTTATCCAGTAAATACAAATTAAAAAACGTATGGCTTTCTTTTAACACAGAACTTAAGAACGACGTAGCGTTAAGGTGGCTTCAGGAAACTCACTCAGCGTCACTTATACTTCACTGCGACAGCAACCCATCATGTATGACAAGTAGGGCCTAGTAGCGTGTGCGCAAGACAGCCCAAGCTAGTGAGTCCCAAATATCCATGGCTTTTTCATATTATTCGTGTTTGACAAAGATTGCAAATCACCGTACTACTAGTTGCTGATGTCAGAATAGTCCCAGATCATCACCCTCTTATCTGATGTTCTTACTGCTACGTTCCTCGTACTGCAAAGCATATGCGCATGACGTCACAGCAAGCAGAAGTCACTGCGCTCACACCCACTGAGTGGCAAACAGAATGAGTGGCACCGTTAGCGTTCAGCTTTAAAGCCGCAAAAGCACATCTAAAATGGGGAACAGCTGACCTGCGATTGATTGTACAAAATCGATTTAACAAGAAATAGGAGCTCTCAGATCCGTCTAATAGGCATGGATTGGTGCCGATACCGAACTGAATGTTGGACTGGTGCATCTCTACTTGTTACATCATATATTACATAAACATATCACAAAGTTTCTTTTATCTACGTATCATTTTATCAGCAGTTGTAGAGTGGAATGAACCTCATTAGTACAATTATAATAAACTTGGAGCTGACAGTGATCTGTATGTTTGATATGGAAGGGTGTTGATATGAAGTAGAAAAATGTGTCTGTTATGACCGCAATTAGTGACTTGCCTGAATCGGAAGTGCAGCTTCGTCAGTCCGTGCTCACTCTCCGACCATGAAGAAAGCAGTTGGTGTTAGCAGGAGGTTATTGAAGTAGCTTACCCTCCAGATTGAGAGGGTTTTGCTGGGTATTGCAAATAAATTGCATGCAGTTTGACACGCATTGGTGCATAAATTTGAAATTTAGATAATTTAATTAAATTGCTTGAAGAGTGGAAACATTTGCAGACAAGTCTAATGAATTTGTAGACTGAATATTTTGACCTGCCTTGTAACAATGCACATCATGGATTCTCATCATCATTATTATTTTCTTTCTGTCAAAGGAAAAAGCACAAACAAAGCAATGGTTTTTGAGTTGGTTATCAGTGAGGATACAAGCTTCAGCTGACTCATCCTAATAATGTTACATATTGAATCTACAATTACAGAAAATTCTAACAACGATAACATAGTGTTCTAAAATACTGTCTTGGTTTTCTGCAGGTTAGAGCGAGTGCTATTGCACAGGACGCAGACCAGAACTACGACTACGCAAGCAACAGTGTCATTCTGCACTTGGATGCTGGAGATGAAGTGTATATTAAGCTGGATGGGGGCAAGGCACACGGTGGAAATAACAACAAATACAGCACTTTCTCTGGGTTTATCATCTATGCCGACTGAAAAGGGAGCTAGACAGGGACCCAGCAGAGCATTTTCACATTTATTCTCTTCCTCTGACTCTCTTTCCCTCTTCCACACTCAATCTCTTTCTTTCTCCATATATATATATATATATATATATATATAAATCTTATTCCCTCTAAAAATTGACCCCGTTTTGTTGTAGAAAGCTCTTGTTGTTACTCATTGTCTTTTCTAACATTCTGCCAACTGAAAATATCCTGGTTTTAATTTTCGAAGAACTTCGCTCGATATGCAAAAGTCTCTTCCCAGACTGGAGATGATGTTGGCCCCTTGGCCCACGTGTGACTCACTTAATCGCTATATTCTTCCTTTGCATATTGGTATTTTGCTTGTACAAATATGTAAAATGAGAATGTGCAAAAAAAAAGAATAATATTGTGTGTACCCTTTCCTTAGACATATCTGGAAATAAGAAGGCACAGGCATGCTTTGTGACTGAGGAATAAAATCGAGGTCGGGACGTCGGTTAATTTAAGAATCACACTTATTTTCTTTGAAAAGTTAAGCTACAGGTTTAAATTGCTATTTTCATTTTTGCATTGAACATGCTGCCTTTTCACGGTTGCATATTCTCATTGATCTTGCGTGTAATATTTCATAATATGTCACAGGGATTTTGCTGGACATGAAGGGTCTCACCCCTATCGCCCCCCAGATCTCCCCTTTTTGTTTGTAGACATTAAATCTCATATATATTTGTGGTCACTAATTGACCCAGTTTTCAACACAGTCCCTTCAATACATATTGAGTAAATTATGGACTAATCTATCAGTTTTATGATAAAGTCCACATGAACCAATTTCCCAAGCTTTTCCTTAGTAATCTTTGACATTAGAAGTGTTGTGATGATGTAAATAATAAGGCTAGCCTTCTATTCAACAATGGGATGCACACACATGCATACAGTATATACATTTGTGTGTGTTTGTGTGTGTGTGTGTGTGTGTGTGTGTAAGTGAGAGGCTTTCGTGAGTGAAGCCACGGCCAGATATCAACATTCAGAAGCGTTGCTACCTGCTGTCCAGGATAAGTGACTCATAACAGGATATCGACATTTAAGTTGCTGCTGCTTAACTGACATTAACCACTGTGCTGTGAAACTGGTTGGACCTTCAGTGAGAATCACTGATCACATGATTTGTGAAAGATCACGTGATTTCTGTGCAATGCCAACACCTGCGTGCATTCGCTCCCATGTGCATGCACACACATATCTATTATTTTTCTGATAACAAACTCATGTTTCATAATAATTTCACCGGCCAATAATGAGATTGCTCTGGAGGTAGCTGCCTCTGTCACTGCAGTATGAGAGGAAAACTGGTTGTAAATAAAATATGTTTTGTCTTTCTATTTTTTTTTTATTTTTTTTTTGCAATTGTTGAATAAATTTGAATAATAAACAATTTTTGGATTTGTTTTGCATAATAATTAGTTATATTGTTGAAGCTAATTAAGGAAATAGTAATATTCATTATAATCTAAGTATTTAAATAATAATCATATTAATTGTTGGCATCCATATAAATATATGATCTATACAAATATTTTAAATACAATTAAATAAAAAGAGAAACGTGGCGATCATGGACTGTGTATTTTCTACTGTAAAGAAAAATATTGCGCATGATTCAGGTTTTCTAAAACAAAATCAAAGAAGTCAAATTGTAAATGAAAATTCAGTTGATATAACTAATCAAAGTGAAATTTCTGCAGTAATAGTGCACTTCTTCTCATTGTCTTGCATATGGTATTTATGGTATTGCATATGGTACCTAAATGGCCTGTGTCTTTAGTGATGGTTATGGGAGCGAATGGTGCGATAAAAAACAGCAAGTGTTATGCAGCACAGACACTGATTACTCTTTTATCAGATAAAATAAGTAATGATTAAATATTTATTTTTAATAACCAGCTTTTCCTAACCTACACAGTTTTGTGTCAGGTTCTATAAATTTATAGTAGCTGTCCAATAACCATGAGAGAAGATATGGGTTAAATTAAAAATACTGAAATCATGCATTTTTGTTGCAGAAGGATACTGCCTCTTGTTGCCAGTTTGATTTATTTGTTGCTGTTATTTATTGTTTAACCGGTTATGTTAACCAGTACGTTCATTTCTTCCCCAGCTTCCAGTCAAGCTGTGCTATATATTCTTAATTCAGAGAAAACTCTTTGTTCAAGCACGAGACAAGCATTTCCATAGAAGAACTTTACAGCATAGATGGATGTCATGCTACTCTTGTTATCATCACTGTCATGGAACCGGGCGGCTCGGGTGCGAGAACGAGGCAGCAATCCAGGAGATCCTTATCCTACAGATTAGCATCTTCACTGATGCATGGGAAATCAATTTTTATTACAAGCAAAGCATCACAGCCATTGTGGATTATAAAAGGGACTCCTAAAATATTTAACAGCTCAGGTTCTTTGGCATTAAAGACTCAGTTACAAATCATTGATTTGACTCTAAACAGATTAATCCACACCATGTTTCAGGCAAAAAGGTGAGGTCTGGGAAACAACCAAATGGGTTTGTAACAGCACCATGTTTACAGATGACACGCTGACTGTGAATATTTAAACAAATCTCTCTTTTAACCTGGAACTAAAACTATAATCAACAGAGCAAACACAATAACTATTTGTTCTGCACTGAAAATGAAATGATTTTTCTAGATTAAGTGCTCAAAAATCTGATCAAGGTTTCATTATTGTCACAGAGGAATTAAAATGTTATATATTATGTTAGATTTGGACATTTTAACGCAGACTGTGTGGAGGGTATTGGCTTACTGTTATACTGTATTACATCAGGAGAGATAATTGCAATTAGGGTTATAGTTTGGCAAAATTAAAAGTAGCTGTCAGCATTGCAATAATGACCACCCATCCTGAGAGATGGCTTGTAACTTTTTTGCTTCCAACTGATCTTTTGTGAGAGAAATAGAGAAAGACAGAGCGAGAGAGAGAGAGAGAGAGAGAGAGAGAGAGAGAGAGAGAGAGTGATATCCTCTATGCCCCATGATGTTTAGATGCATTGTGCAACAAGGACAAGAACATGGCATTTTGACAGCTAATATCCTTGAAAAAGACAGTTGAACAGACAGCATGAAAGGAAAGGTTAGCGATAGGGAATCTTATAAATATTGTATTTTTGTTGTTAACAAAATGACCTATTATCCCTTCACTGCACCTGTCTTGGACTCATCAATCATTACTGACATGACACACATAAATGCTGAAATGATGCAAAGGTGGGTCTAATCCAAACTGAAATGAGCTTCCACTCACGAGCCAATAGAGTGCATTTATTGAGCTCCTTGAAGAACATTGAAGCAAAGTAATTTCCCCATCTATCTATCTATCTATCTATCTATCTATCTATCTATCTATCTATCTATCTATCTATCTATCTATCTATCTATCTTGTTGCATAATCATGAGTTTAAAATAAATGCTTATATATTTTGAATCTCTTAAAAACATTTGAAATTGCACAGCAGATAACAAGAAATTCTTTTTTTGCTTGGTGATTCAACTTTGATACTGGTAAAACCAACAATGCAACTGATTTAAAAAAAATGTGTCGTCAAGGGTAACTGGGCATTTCACCATGTGCTTGGTGACTTCTGCAGTGATGATTTTCACCTCAAGGCCACCTCATGTTTTGTCAACATGTCTTGGTTATGCTCCACTTGTGTCATATTAATAACTGTATGATTTGGAATATATGAATGCTGGATAGAATATGTATCAGCAGAGGAATTTTGTTTTTGAATGACACTAATGTATGATGAGCTTCCTGAATCTGTTATTGTCATAGCAACATAACATCCTGGTCAAAGACAGGGATAAATTACAAAGATTATCATTCTATATCATAAAATCACGAAAAGGCATTACATGATGCAAGGGTTACATTTTTCCAGATAATAATGGATAATTCATTCAGACAAAGAAATGACAAACTCAGCAGCCAGAACATTTGTGTTGGAATTATGCTTTAGCAATGGCATATTACAGACAAACATTTTCGACCTTAACATGAATTATTCTTCTTGTGATTAATAGAAAAATTAGACCTGACCATTAAGTTCAATATCTGTGTTGTTTGGTCTAATGTCATTTGGCTCCATTTTCTGTAACCACTTATCCACTGCAGGGTCATTGCAGGCCTGGAGACTCTCAGGAAGCACAAGATCCCAATCTATCAGAGAGAATCATTCCGAGAAAGAAATTCACATGGATCGCGTGGCTTTGACCATTAGCTGTACCTGAAAGAAACCCACACGGATAGAGAGAAGCAAACTCCACACAAACACAGCTGGGGCTCGAAGCCCGATCCCTACAGAACCCCACTGAGGTCATGATTATAAACAATGACTGTGCCACCCTGAATATACATTTTATTTTATTATATTTTTGGATTGATGTACTTATTTATGGAAAGAATTGTTAAAAGAATTTTCCAAGCGCTACTCCCATCTCACTCACAATAGTTCCTGTAAATATCTTTTTCTTTAACAACACTATTGGGGACATGTGACTCACACAAAAATCCGTGATAAAAAAGTATTGGCCACCACAGCTTGTATTACTTAACAGGGATTCCTTTGTTTCTCTTACCATGGCACAAGCTCTGTGGCTGCTTGGCATATGAAAGTTGTGTTCAATGGATCATTAAAAAATGTGTCACGCTGTTTAAGTGAAGATTCAAAATGTAAACAGTAACATGGTTGTTTTTTTTTATTATTATTTTGCACAGGGGCAAAAAGTGCCCACAAAGTGCATGCCATGAGGCTGTAATTGGTCTTACACTAAAGGAGGGACGCTTCCCTGATTTCCCCTACTTATATAATTCCTCAAAAAGAGAAGGTAGAGTGTTTTAATACACGAGTCACTGTGGGTGTTTGGGACAAATGTAGCTGAGTGCACTCTGTGCTGCTCACAAACACTCGGGATGTGATTGACAGCATTTTCTGATAAACAATAGCAGAAAGCGTGGCTTCATCTCATCACAGTACCGAATCTTGGCCGATGTTACCACCCACACAGCAATAACTTCTTCAGTTCAATCTCTTTCTCTGCAGTGCCCCATTGACTTTGTTTGTAAATAGAGATTAACATCAGATGTGAAAAAATATGGAAACAGACTTATGTGGTCGTATTTTAATGATGTAAAGTGCAGTGTCTAAAGCACACGGTCTGAAGCACATGGTGTAAGTTCCTTTAGGACGTAGCTAACCCACTTAGACTAGTTTAACAGCAGAAAAATAGCATTGTCAGGGGCATAATCCGAAAGGGTTGTAATTAGTCATGAGTGTGTTTGGGGAGTAACATGCTATATTACTAATCAGATTGTTGTCTCCTATTCCCCTTAAGAGCCAGGTGCACTTGCTCCTTGGTAGATTACTATTACAACAGCGGATTCGCCAAATAGTAGAAAAGAACGCTTCTCTGCAGAGGATCTGCTCTTGTGTGAAGTGAAAGTGTGAAAGCAGACCATCTATAGCAAGGGAAGGATTCCACCAAAGCTCCCTGAGCTTTATTATTAATATAATAACAATCATCATCATTATTATCAACAATAATAATAATCATAATAATCATAATGCTAATAAATACGGTAGTCCCCCAGTATCACCGGGGATACGGTTCAGGACCTACCATGGATAACCATAACACCAGCCCTCCACAGACTCCACATATCTCATCATTTTTAAGTACATATATATGGCAAAGTTTAAACTATGCACAGTAAGACGTTGCCAACATTAAATACAGTACAGTAAAGTTCATTGTACTTTATTATACAGTATTGTACTCATTTGAATGAATGGGATTCTGACATTTGAGACTAATATAGCAATGAAAAAATATCACGTATCAAGGGATGTTGGAGCAATGAAAATCTTGCTTTTTATACCCCTTCAAAGGAAAAACACACACTGACAAGGTAAAATACTGTATCGTGTACCTGTACATGTCTTGGCCTGTAAATATCTTAGCCTATCGTGGGCAGGCCTATTCATCAGCTTACAGCCTGTACTCTCTTGGTGCGTGGTTTGTGGTTTTTTATGAACCATTCCTTGAATTCTTAAGCTTTTTTTTCAGACTGCAGTAAACCACAGATTACTGAAAGTCTGAAACCGTGGATTTGGGGGTACCACTGTAATAATTAGGCAATTTTATCCATCATTACTGTAATTAGCTAATCCTGATGAATATTATATCTAACCATTATGACATATATTTCTTAATTTTTCTTAATGTATACAATAATGATCTTTAACATTGTTATCTTTTTATTCTTAATTTTTTTAATGTTTGTGCACTGCTACGCGTCACT